CTAATTTTTTGTATTCATGTTGACCAGGATGGTCTCGATCTCTTGACCTCGTGATCCACCCGCCTCGGCCACCCAAAGTGCTGGGATTACAGGCGTGAGCCACCGCGCCCGGCCTTTTCCTTTAATTTTTAAACTTTTATTTTTATTTCATATTTTGTAGAGATGGGGTCTGGCTCTGTCGCCCAGGCTGGAATAGAGTGATGCCATCAGAGCTCAGTGCAATCTTGAACTCCCAGGCTCAAGGAATCCTCCCATCTCCTGAGTAGCTGGGACTGCAGGCATGTGCCACCATGAGATGGCGCTTTGCCATGCTGCCCAAGCTGGTTTCAAACTACTGGCCTAAAACAGTCCTCCTGTCTTGGCCCCCCTAAAGTGTATTCTATATTTTTCTTTTATTTTGAAGTCCTAGTCAAGAATAGAGAATTATATACATAGATGTTTAATAGAGTTGGGGTTTTGGTACATTGCTCAGGCTTGTCTCAAACTCCTGGACTCAAGCGATCCACCTGCCTCAGTCTCCCAGAGTGCTCAGATTACAGACATGCGCCACCACATCTGGCTCTATTCTATTTTAAATAAAAGTACAAATTTTATTAATGTGCACATGGGAGCTTTCATAATGAGGACACTCAAAGTGAGCCTTCACTTTGAGGACCCCTTCAAAATGCAGGGGAAATTGTCCATTTTAATGCACTCGCTCCGTCACCCAGGCTGGAGCACAATAGCTCAATTATGGCTCACTGCAACCTCTGCCTCCCAGGTTCAAGCAATTCTCACACCTCAGCCTCCCGAGAAGCCGGGACTACAGGTGCCTGCCACCATGCCTGGCTAATTTTTGCATTTTTAGTACAGATGGAGTTTTGGCGATTAGCAAAGCTGATCTTGAAAACCTGGCGTCAAGTGATCTGCCCACCTCAGCCTCCCCAAGTGCTGAGATTAGAGGCATGAGCCACTGCGCCCGGCCATGACTATTCATTGCTAATGGGATTCTGGAAGTGGACCTGCTGCTTACAGACAACCTGGTGCAACTTTTATACACATGCAGATTTCTCCTAACACATTGCTTACTGCCTCCAAGCTATTTATCTGGAATTAGTAGAATAAGCTGAGCCCTTATTTTAATGTGAGAAAGCTGAGACTTTGAAGTGATAACACAGGTTTGGCTAAGCTAACCAGGATTTGAAGATAGCATGGTGGTGAAAATAATCATGATTTATTTATTTGAGAAAGGGCCTCGCTCTATCACCCAGGCTGGAGTGCAGGCATGCAGTCATGGCTCACTGCAGCCTCAACCTCCTCGGCTCAAGCAATCCTCCCACCTTAGCCTTTACAACACCCATGGGCATGCCCCACCATGCCCAGCTAATTTTTAAGCTTTTGTAGCGACCAGGTCTCCCTATGTTGCCTAGGCTAGTGGTCTCCCACGCCTGGACTCAAGCCATCCTCTTGCCTTAGCCTCCCAAAGTGTTGTGATTACAGGTGTGAGCCGTGGTGCCCGACTGTAATAGACATCTTTACTGTAGTGTTCTGCAGTTATGAGTGAGGTCATCTTGCAACTGTGCATATTCTTCTATCACTTGCTGACATTAAAAGTTGTTTGTTTTTTTTCAGAGACG